ACACGTCTAAGAAAGAAAACATAATATTTCACTCTTACGAAGTAAAACACATTTTAACATGCATCATATCATAAGCAGACTCATGTTGTTACGAATATTAATACTTCAGAATATATTGTTAAACCAAACATATTCTGTACTTTTTTGGATCAGATTCGTCATCATTATTCTGTGACAACAAATTCTACACGTGCTTATTCTTTTCAGTTTTAGAAGTGAAGAATGGACAAATCCCGTTGCTTGATAAAGCATCTCAAATATTCTTCATAATATGACACTAGCAATGTTGGAAGCTATTTTTTATGAAGCAATGAGAAGTACTAAAACAGAACCACGAGATATTAGCTGAATGAAGCTCGGAGACTGAATAATTAACTTAAAATTCGTAGTTTCTATGAATGTACAAATTTTTAGAACCTTTCCTCCAAACTTTTTTGAACTTTTGTCGTCGTTGACTAATGCTCACTTTGACCTATACGATAAGCCAGCCGTTAACAACAGCCTTGAGCACCTTACAGGTGACAGTGTGATTCCGCCCCCAATATTCATGGAGAGCACACCAGGGGGGGACGGGTCCGAGAGTCTCCCACCCCTCTTCCCATACTACCACCCTCTCGAGAGGACTATTGGCTTGCCGCATATTTGGAGTGCTCTCATGCCGCTCGGACACTATACATTTACAAACATCCATACCTTCTCCAGGATTCGAACCCAGGCCCTTCTGCAAGGCAGTCAGCGACGCTAACCACTATACAGGTTGGGCGGCATAACTTTTGTATTAAAAAAATTAAATACATTGTCAAGAAAATAACAATTAGGAATATGAGATATTATTACTATTTCTTATGTTCTGTGATATCAATTATTAATACTTAGCTGGTTTAACTTCTGCATAACAGATCACTGTAGAAAATGTTATAGACTCCTAGGAAGGATTTTTAGAGACTGAAGCTAAATTGCTACGATCGTTAAAAAAAAAAAATTTCCTAGCAGAAAGCTTTTTTAATATAAGGCAACATAATACACACTTCACGTAAGAAGCTGTTATGTAATTTAATTTAGCAAGGAAGATGGGATGCTTGAAGAAAGCACTAAGTGCTTAAAAACCGAAAACTTTTTTTTTTTTTTTTTTTTTCTGTTGTCGAAATTAACATTAATTTAACTATGTCTAAAACACGAAATTCGATGAAGTCAGAAAAGTTTAATAGCATTCTAAATTTGCTGAAAATTTTACATGTATATTCTTGCAACATGATAAAATTGAGACAGTGTCCTGTTATGGAAATTGGGGAATGACAATTCGATGGTTTTATGGAATTCGCTTTTAAGTATAAAGAAGAATATTTTAAATTTTGGGTTGTGTTTAAGGAATATATTGCATGTCCCAGTTAAAAGCATATATAAACCAATCCGAAACGCATGTAAATTTGATTACAGTTTGATTAATTTGTTAATCCTTTTTAATACTTCCTATAATGAAAATGTGCTTACATATATCGTAATGCTTTATATAGATGTTTACGTTACATATATAAAGTAAAAAGTAAATGTTGCCTTGAAATTCATTCTAGGTATATGTGGGACATTCAAACAGATAGCAACTCGCATAAAAATCCCTAAACTACTTCTAGTGGTGGTAAAGAAACAAAAAAAAAAAAAAAAAAAAAAAAAAACCCAATAATAAATATATTCTACTTTTGGTAAAAACGTCTCAGTTGCAGCTTTCTTTTATTTTTAACAAAGCTAATTTTTGCAGATTTTCTAATTTAGATTTTAATGATTTTTATAGTGAAATATGACTAATTTGTGTGTATGAAAATATTTCTTTATCTTGCACTAATTAAGAGTATATCATTAATTTTACCAAATTTACATCGTATGTAAGGGATCTTCGAACTCAGAAAGCTTGAGAAACTCGGAATTGTACTATTTATCTAAATTACAAAATATTTATATTTGCGTTTTTATTAATATCTATATAAAAAGAATAACTGTAGAGCCATTGGGTTTTTATTTGGGGGGGGGAGCAGGCAAGGTGAAAAATGAGCAATCGCTTTCGCCGGGAATCGAACCACGGACCTCTGGAATACCGGCCCAGCGTGCAGAACCACTACACCACGAAGGCACGCTAGGAAGAAGGGAGAAATACCTTATATACTCCCCCTTTTCAAGGGCAAGTGGTGTTTTTAGGGGACCCAATCGCCAAATCCTGGGTGAGGTGAATCATCATCCAACACTCTTTTTAGTTCGGGCGCCACTGTAGAGACATTAGGTATTTTTTGGAAGCAGGAAAGGTGATAAATTAACAACGCCTTCGCCAGGAATCGAACCGCGGACCTCTGGAACATCGGCCCAGTGTGCATAATACCACAACACGAAGGCACGCTAGAAAGGCGGGAGAAATACCTTATACAGTCAAAAGTCGTTAATCCGGACTCGTCGGGACTTCGGCGATTCCGGATTATCGATTTTTCCGGATTATAGATCATCAGTTTAAATCTCGTAAGATGGCATGCAGACATTCTAAAATTAAAAATATGAAACCGTAATTTATGAAATAAAGAACAATTATGATCTAAAGGGTATCAAAATTTACAAAAAGAAAAAAAAAGCTTAATATTTATTTGTTTACTTAAATAAACATTTCTTTCAATGTAAGTTGTTTAAGTTTTGCTTCGTTTCATGTGATAATACTTTCTCTTTAATTCTATTAAACAGACATAATTTCTTGTTCAGTTACAAAGTTCCGCTGTTCAAGTCCTATAATTGCTGTGTCAAGAACACCGACTAATTTGTCAATCGAAATTTTTTCGTTTTCAATAACCTCTGTCACTTTCTTCTCTATCGGAAGCGAATTATAATGACGAGGAACTTGTTTTAAATCATATCAAAGACGGAGCATATCAAGATGAAATACTACATCTGGTAAGGAATTATAAGCCAAATAAAATAAAATCATCTGCGCTGAAGATAAGGATAGTGCTGACAGATCAACTTCCAATTCATTACGCGCTCACCGCGGCGTTCCCCCCGCCGAGCAGCGTGAAATTGATAAACAGATTTCGGATTTCAAAACATACTTTCGCTTTAGATCCTTTACATATTAACGAATATATATCGGAAATTCTATTTGATATAATCGAAAGTTTAAGCTTACTTTTATAAAATTGCTCTTACAGTCTGCAAAAAATAATAAGCCGGATCCAATTCGAAAATTAAGGAACAACGCAATCATCAACATTAACTGAAATAGATAATTAGATAATTTTAGCTTATACGTCCATTATACATAAAACGCGCACGCGAAAACGTATTCTGCACTTGCGCACACTCATATGCGCAGTCGTAAAAGGTCTTACGCGCACGCGTAAACGCCTATGCGCATGTGTTAACGCGGCGTATGCGCAGAAAGTTTTTAGCTTTGAGGTCCGGATTATAGATCATTCCGAATTATGGGTGTCCAAATTAACGACTTTTGACTGTATAACCTTTTAAAGAATTTATAATATAATCCTTTAAAAGAACTGGCAACAACATTCGGTGTTTTATTGCAACTTTCTTCAGCGTTCCAGTCTTTGATATTTAAAACAGTTAAACAGTCTTTGATATTTAAAACAGTTAAAAGTGTTTCGTATGAAGAATAATGAAAATTTGTTTAAATAATATTTCATTCACTCCTACCAACGCATTTTTTTTAATCATTTTCTCCGCTCTGACGCCGTATACAGTTCAACAGCAAAATTACAAAAATTTGAATATACGTTTAGAATTTCCAATGCAACGTTAAGTGTTGGCAGACAATTTTTTTTTTTTTTTTCAGTCTTTTCTCAGTTCATATCAATGTTCAGTTTTCTTAAAAAGATTGCTTTACAAAACTTTTTTGTGTCTTTTTATTATTAAAGTTTTGTGTATTTACTTTATTTATTAAATATCACGTTCGTTGTGCTTGAGCTACGTAAAATTCGATTCTACAGTAAGATTACAAAATATTTTAAAAACAGCATATCTTTGGAATTTCTGATAGACGCACTGGAGATAAAAATGTTTTATTCTGTACATCGTTGCCACTGCTCGCTTCAAAATAGTTAAGTTTGTTAACAAAAAAAAGTTTTACAAAACGTGAAATAGATAATAAAACAAATTCGAAATTCGAGTTTCCAGGCGCCTATGTTCGGGCGGAGGACTACGCTCAGTTTTTTTTTCCCCCACAATGCGAGAATATATTTATGCAGATTCTTCTTTAATTAAAATCTTTTTGTATAATACAGGGCGATGATATTTGGAGCCAACAATTTGAAAAGTGGTACATCTTTTATCAACTCAAAATGCCGTTTCGAGACTGATATCGCATATTGTGGGATTAACGTCTTTTTTGCGCTAAAAATAAATTAAATATATATTTATCATAAGTTTCAAGTTCTATATGTATTCTCTTGAAAAATATCATTCAGGTAATGTATTTTGTGCCTATTATTTGCGTATTTATGAACATTTGCTGCTCTTCAGCGATTTTTATAACAGATTTTTATCAAGCAATAATTTTAACTAATAATGGCGATTTTTTATTTTTAGTATGGTGTAGTACTTAATCGTTACACTATTTTCTCATCTCAGCGTATGTCATATGAAATGCTTTATTTTAAACGAATCATATATATATATATATATAGAGAGAGAGAGAGAGAGAGAGCTTGCTTCCAGAGTTTTTAGCCCAAAGGGGTCATTTTTAATTATTATTTTTTTAAACCGAGTTCTTTTATTATTATTATTATTTTAGATTCCCCTCTATGTTAAATACTTAACATTATTTCTTTTGTATCACATGCGACAATGTCCAGCCATTACCACTTCAAGCAGTCGCAGTAAGAGACTGAGCATATCTCAAATTTACATGTTGGGCCACCCAGGGGCGACTAGAAAAACGAACTCTCATGTTATTCCTAAGCGTGGCCGGATTTCTTCGCCATTTCCGGCTCCTAGTGTGTGCCGGATGGCGAAGCATTCTGCAGCTGCAGGGGCTCGAGGTCACACGAGGGGAGGGAAGACGCGGAGTGCCCGCGGGTGGACCTCAAAGTGACGCAGGGGAGGTGTAGAGCGCGAATACACTGCCATCGAGCGAAGGAATATCGGTCGGTGACCGCCAGGGCTCCTCGGTCCCTGCACTTCTCCCCGGGATTACGTCATACGCGCCTTCCCGACACATGCGTCGACCGCGATCGACCGGTTTCCACACAGGAAGGCACGGCACCCTAAGAGAAGGCGTCCTTCGGCAGTTGCTGACTAGGTCCTCTTTCCTTCATCAGACCCTCATGTAAGTTGTTGTTTACTTTATCTTAACAAAACAACTACAATCGAATGTCGCAGATTCTAAAATAGCGAGCGAGGCTTAGCGGGTCTATAGATTATGACGTCATCCATCCGGGCTCTTTTTGAGCCAAACGTCTAGTCTTATGACGTTCCTCGGTTAGTCTTAAAATCCACTTATTAATTAAAGCGATGTCAGATCAGTAAAATTCTGCATCAAGTTCAGTTGTATATGCATTTTCTTTCATAGAAATGAACTATAATATCTAAACTTGAACTGAAGTGCACAGACAGGAAAATTCCAGCATAAATTGTTAATGGAATGTAATTTTGTATAATTTCTTGCGGAGGGGAAAAAAAAAAAAAAAGTAACATTTTGAGTAGTAGCACAGTTAGCTTATATCAGAATCAATCATATTAAAGAGAAATGGATAGAAATGGACCAAGCATTAACCATAATAAAGGCAAGGGGAAAGATAATGAAACCCTAGCCTAAAACTTTCTCGAGGCTTTTCCCAAAAATACTTCTAATTCCGCTTAACAATTCATACAACAATCTTCATTTTACGATCTAAACCAAATAATTTAGAACTGTAATTATAAATAAATGTAATTAATATTTAAAAAATAAATTAGATATATGAGCCGATAAATTTTACAAATAAAAATAATTTTCCTTAATTTTTGAAAACACGTTAAGAATCTTTAATATCTAATTAAACTTGTTTAGCTCTTAATTAGAAATTCAATCTGTTTAGTTAGAAATTCAATCTAATTACAATGTGTTTTAGAGTATCAAGGAAAAAAAAAAAGAATGTTAAAAATTTCCTGACATTTTCTAAATCCTATTGGATATATAAAAAATGATAAATAGTATAGCAGAATGAGTATTTTTGTTCTAGGCAGGAGAAAAACTTGGTAAGGATGTTGTTTAAAAAGGACGCTGTTTTATTTCAGAAATCGAATCATACCATTTACTTCAGGCATACCTTATATAATAAAATAAGTTCTGAAAAGGACGATATTTCGCCTAGGTTACTCACCAGAGAAACGATGACACGAGTTAATTTCGTGTAAATCTCATTCTTATTTGACTGAGTTGTCTGAAATTCCCATCGTTAAGTTGCTAAACTTCGTTAAACTATGAATATTATGCAACGCATACCATTCATTGTCATACTGTATTTTGAGATAATTTTAAGTGCCTTCGCTAAGTATTAATAAAGCTGTTTTGAAGGAAGAGGTAAACAATATTTTTAAATATAAATGGGCAGCAAATTGCTATAATGTATGCTTTTATGTAAATATATACTTGTATAATAAGATATATCGCAATTTTGTATTACAATCTATCTTATTTTCTACATAACACATTCCTTTGTATAGTTTCGCTTTTGCAAATAAAAGAATTGTTAAATATGTGAAATATTTCAAAAGCATCTTAGAACGCATTCCTCACTTTCGAAATCACAGCTTAGACACATGTGTTTCAGTTTACATATATGTAATGGACCAAAATATCATTTTTTAGTTATTATTAATAACTAAAAATTATATTTTATTATAAATTGAATTTAACTCTTAAAAATAATTAGTACTAACTAATAATTTTAAGAGTTAAATTCTGTTATTCAATGGCTTTCAATTATTAATAGATAGATTTGAAACATGGTTATGTAAAAATATTCTGTACCGTAATTATATGGAAAACATTGTATTGATTGAAAAGTTGATGGACCAAAATATAACGTTTAGGTATTATTAATAACTAAAAATTATATTTTGGTCATAAATTAAATTTAACTTTTAAAAATAATTAGTATTAACTCATTATTTTTAAAGAGTTAAATTTAAGAGTTTCTAAAGAGTTAAATTCAATTAATCAGTGGTTTTCAGTTATTAATAGGTAGATAGATAGATCTAAACAATGATTATGTAAAAATATTCTGTACCGTAATTATATGGAAAAAACTGAATTAGATCATTTCCTATTGTCTGTAAATATTTACAATGTTCTATATTTCGTTTAACGTGAATCTTAAAGACTGATTATATACCTTTAAAGAGTTATCAGGGATTACGCCTAAAGCTAACTTTCAATTACTGTTAATGAATATTTTATTACATTAAATGTGATTTGTTTGGTTTATTATCTGGTTGTTTTTCTGAAATTCATTCGGAATTTCAGAAAAATTTTGATGGATAAATGTTACCGCGACGAAAGCATTATCCATTCTAGGATGAGATTCTTCTTGTGAATTTTTCAACGGACATTTTACTTTGTAAAACTTTTCCGCTCTTTAAAAAGCGTAAATTATTACTCTGAATATTTTTCTTATACTATCCATGATTAATTTTTAAAAAAGTGACTATCTGAATCTCACTTTAAAAATTGCAAGTTTTTTTGTTGCTGTTTTAAGCAAGGAGGCTAGAAAGAAAGGTTGGTGTGTATTTAATTATGGCAAAGCACACGAGGGCTATCTGCCTAAAGGGAGGGATGCCTTTCGTGGAGGACTTTCTAAGGGAAACTGGCTCGTATACACGTTACACGTGGGGAAAACCACGAAAACGCCCATGCAGCCAGCCCGTTCGCGGGATTCGAACCTCAGACCGAACTACCAGTGTTCAGCGTCTTTACCGCTCGGCCGCCGGTGGGCCTGCTAGAAAGAAAGGAAAGGCCCGATTGGTTTTTCTCATACATTCCCATGAAGCAGTGACACAACCCTCTTACCAAACACTCTGTGACTTGCATTCAGTTAACAAAAGTATTCCGTAACTTATCATTAAGACCAATAGATTTTGATGTGTTCGGAGTAAACATTTTGTAATTATGTCGTAAATATAAGTATAAATTATATATTTTCTTTTTCTACAGCATTTCATATTCCTTAAGTGTGTGAAAGAATGCATTTTTAAACAGCATTTCATTTTAAAAGGAATAAAATGCTATACTTTTTCCATGCTCAGAACAGTTTTAATTCGAGTGAAATGCTTTCACAAACTTTCGCTAATGACGTTAGAAAAAAATTTTAAGGTAATTATTTTTTTTTTTTTTTTTTTTTTTTTTTTTTTTTTTTTAACGATTACAAAAAAATTAAAAATCAAAGATTAATTCTATTATTAATATTAAAATCAAACATTATTTTATTTTTTTCTTTACATTCTTTTTGAAATACTTTATCAAATTTGAGAGGATTTTCTTCTTTTGAGGCATCTTTTAAATCAAAAATCGTAGTCACTTTATAATTAATGCTGTGTTTGCTGTAGTCATTTTAAAAGCTGTATAGGACAATGCAGTTTTATAGTGTGGGGGGGGGTCAAGGGTTTCCCATTGTTGGCAAAGACACTAAAAACTAGGAGAAATAAACTGTGCTAATTGTGTTAAAAAATCACAAAACGGATTTTACAACGCTTCTTTTACAAAAATAAATAAATAAATAATTTGAAAGAAAATTTAATATCAGGCAACTGCAAGAGTTAGTACAAAAGGAAAAATGCGTCGAAAAGCAAAAAACTTCCACTTTCGGCTACAAAGTGTTTCGATGAGAAATTTGTTGCCAGTTAGTCAAAGTATATTTCTGCTCCAGAGAAAATAATTTCATAAATTATTCAGCCGCCTCTAACTTCCTCATGGTTTAAGTTATTGTTTCATACGTAACTTTAAGTTTTAAATCTGGTAATTAGTACCAGGTTCTCTAAGTTTCAAGTTAATGAAATACATTTGTATTTTATTTTCTTGAAATGTCTGGTAAAGAACGAGAACTTGTTCAGAAATTTCAGACCAGAAATTCTGATTCAGAAATTTCTGCACATTTTTTAAAAATTATGTGCATTTGTATTATAGTAGTAACTAAAACTTTTTAGATGTGCTAGAATGCTAATAACTGGCAGAGAATTTAAAAAGTGTCCTTTTATCAAAAAGTGTAATCTGCCGTAAGTGTAATGATTTTTAAATCGAGAGAATCAGTTTTCTTCTGGTTTAAATTGGTTTTATTAGTTTAAGACAACTGAAGTAAATTTTGCTATTTTCCAGATACCCATCATTATTGATGAAAGTAACATCATCAGAGTACATATACGTGAAATTAAATTTATTTTTTATTATATCATCTTTTTTTTTTTTTATTATTCAGTTAAAGGTTGCAAATCTGTGTAGAATGATTTGTTCCCATTGGAATTCCGTTTGTTGTAAAATAGCATTGTTGAATTTAATAAATATGTGAAATAAGATGCTTAGCAGAAAGTCTTTCCATTTTTTGCTTTCAATGATTAAAAATTTTATAGAAAATGTTTTTCGTAATTCCAATAAGCTGTTGAAAATTTCTTCTTTTACGCGGAGGTGTGATATATACCTCGCAAAAAAAGGCGGGACAGTTCTATATCTGCGATTCTACTGGACCAATTTTCGAAATATAACTTTCGTTTTCCATATGTCTCGAAAGCGCGACTTAGGATAGATATTAAATCTATAACTAGCATTGTTCCAACATTGGTATTTTGGCACAAAATCGGACTTTTTCTGAAATAACATCCCAATTTTTTCCCGTATTTCGATTCTACGACTCAGATTGTGCTACAGTGACAAGTTTTGTAAAAATCGCAGGAGTAATTTTTAAAAAATTAGCTCTCAAAATTTTAGCTCCTCCATGTTAATTGAATTTGGTGTATATTTATTAATATCTCTCTTTTTATTAAACTTATTTGATTCTTCCTTTCACATTTCGAAATTTAGGTTCATTAAATTTTTCGAAAAAAATTTCGAATTATAACCTATAAAATTTTTACCATCATCTTAAAGTAGATGTATTTATAAGCATATATACAAAAAAATTAGAGTTTTCTATTCAAAATTTCCTAAGATATACGTGAATTTACATATTGGCAGGTTTTGAAATTTGTCATATTTTTTATAAGCGATAATAACGTCCAATGTGATTTACGCACTTTGCTAAAATTATTTGAAAGTATAAACGATGATCTTTTCTCCCCCTCGTGCACAATAAAAAAAAGGAAAGGAAAATAAGTTGCTTTAAATTAAGATTTTCGCCAAGTGAATTATTCTTGGCGCAAACTGAAAAAAATGCGCAAAGAAAAATTTTTTAATTTCTTCATAAATTTCTCACTAAAGTTACAAAATTTAATATCTAGGCATAATTTGAGTCGTAGAATCGAAATATGAAAAAAATGGTATGCTGTTTCAGAAAAAGGTCAGATTTTGTGTCAAAATACCTATACTAGAACAATGCTATATATAAATGTAATATATATCCTAAGTCGCGCTTTCGAAACATTTAAAACGCAAGTTAAATTTCAACAATTTATCTAGAACAGGAAATACAGAACTGTCCCCCATTTTTTTTTGGCAAGGTTTACATATTTTCAAAGTCGTAACAGTTAGTCTTTAATTGAAATGCTTTTAGAGTATTAATAATTGTTTTTATTTTTATTAATAATTCAGCAGAAAGGAATCTTTTCCCCCAAACGACATTATAAAACTGATTTAAAAGAGATTTTTCGAGGTGTCTGTGCGTACGTATGTATATATGTATGTATGTCGCATAACTCGAAAACGAGTAGTCACAGAACATTGAAATTTTGTATATAGGTCTGTTATAATATGTAGTTGTGCACCTCCTATTTTGGTTGCAATCGGCAATGTTGGTAAATGTACATTTTTTGCTTTAAAAATGATTGAATCATGTTATTTTTATCTTCTGGTTAAGGTCTTTATGCCTTTAGGAAATCTGCATGCAATAGTTGTAGAATTATAAACTATTTAAAAGTTAATTCAGAAGTCAAACAACAAAAATCAGCGTTAATTTACAAAATTTTCACAGGACTAGTTTCGATGGTTTTACCGAACCATCATCTTCAGCTGCAAAACCGTTTAACTTAGGCGGTTTTGCAGCTGAAGATGATGGTTCGGTAAAACCATCGAAACTAGTCCTGTGAAAATTTTGTAAATTAACGCTGATTTTTGTTGTTTGACTTCTGAATTAGTATTTATTCGGCGTGTTATTGTGTCTTAATTATTTAAAAGTTGTTTAAGTGCGACTAAGCCTAATTTGTCTTTAACCATAGCAGCCATATTTGTTTACATTTGAAACTTAGCTGAATAGTTAATTCAGTTTCTGGAATAGTTAATTCAGTTTCTGCACCTGCACTGTCTTTTTGCAGAGTGGTCTCAAAAGGAAATTTTGTTTTGTGCACTGAAAAATCTGACTTCTTGGCTGCTGGCCAAGTTGCTTGTTTTTGCTTAGAAACTCTAATTTAAAAAAATATTAACTGTATAAGGTATTTCTCCCGCCTTCTTAGCGAGCCTTCGTGGTCTAGTGGTCTGCACACTCAGCGCGTAATTGAGAATTCCGCTGTTCGATTCCCGGCGAAGGCGTTGCATATTTTTCATCTTTCATGCTTCCAAAAATTACCTAATGTCTGTACAGTGACGCCCGAAGTAAAAAGGGTGTTGGATGATGATTCTCCTCATCTAGGATTTGGCGATTAGGTCCCCTAAAAACCCCAGTCGCCCTTTAAAAGGGGTTAGTATATAAGGTATTTCTCCCGCCTTCTCAGCGAGCCTTCGTGGTGTAGTGGTTTGCATGCTCAGCGCGTAATTGAGAGGTCCGCGGTTCGATTCCCGGCGAAGGCGTTGTATATTTTTCATCTTGCCTGCTTTCAAAACTATCCTAATATCTCTAAAACTGCATTTGGTGTTTTACATTTTTCAAGTATTTTTTAATTTTTAATGAAGATATTTTGTGTTTTTATGTATTTTTTTTCCTTTGTTCAGAAATGAGAACTTAATTAAATGAATGAGAAATCTATATCTAATGAAATTCGAGGAAATAAGTTTAAATGAAATGAGGAAAAATGCGTATAATTTAATGTTGTGTACAAAGAAGTCATGTGGTGTACACATAATTTGACACATAATGTACACATAATTGTGTACATTATGTGTCACATAATTGGTACACATAATGTGTACACATAATTTTTTTTTGTACACATAATTTTTTTTTTGTACACATAATTTTTTTTTGTACACATAATTTTGTACACATATTTTTTTTTTTTTTTTTTTTTTTTAAAGCATTAGACAGTTTGCTGGTGATAGATCAACTCCCAAAGCACAAGTAACACCTTATTTTTATTGAATTTGAGCTAAGTTATTCATACCACTGCGAGTGATAGGGTCTTGTAATTTAGTTTGCCAGTTTCGTAAAAGTTAGAGTCGTTAAATTTGGAATTGAGTTTCTCTAAATTTTCTTGACATATTGCAATTTTTTATTTTTTTATTTCTGAGTTTATGTTATTCAGTGATTAAAGTAACTTTCATTTGCAATAAATTTATGTGTTATTTGCTGCTCTTTTAGGGATTTGAGTGAATCCGGCGCAAGACCTTCCAAGTGCAGCCGCTTACAAGTGGACAAATCAGATTCACGTTCTTCTATGAGTAAGTCAAATATTTCTACAATAATCTTTTGTTTCACCTACGTCGATGAAAAAAATTATGAATATGTTATTATGAGCAATAAAGTAAATAGAAACAAATCAGTGCACTTAAATTTATTGTTATGTCAAGCAATTTCATTATTTATTAATCCATTTTTAGGAATTTTAAGATCTTTATGTATTAGTTCTGGTAATTGAATACAAGTATCGTTTGTATTGCGCGCTAATTCGGGTTCCAAGAGAAGTGAAATCTGTGACACAAGGACAATTCAGAAAGAAATGAGGAGGTTTATGAAGTTTTTTTTCAATTCATTTGCCAGCTTAACTAAGTAGTATTTTATGTTCATTTGCTCTTCTGTCCTTCTCGTTTACCGGTTTCCTGCCAACATGTAAATTTCCAGCTCGCGTGTGTTAAAATGAGTTCTGAAAGATATACGTAGGCTGTTCAGAAATTAAGGAACGTTTTGGAATTAAAAAGAAACTAAGTACAAGAAAAAAAAATATTATATTCATCAGAAAGAGCGACTAAAATTCTACCTTTCTACATAGTCACCAAACAAATTGAGGCACTTATCATAGCCGTGGACAAGCTTTCAAATTCCTTCATCATAGAATTCTGCCGCCTGCCATCTCAGCCGCTCAGTGACGCGCACCCGCAGCTCCTTGTCGTCGTCAAAGGGCTCTCTTGCTAGCCAGTTCTTCATTCTTGGAAACAAGTGAAAATCACTAGGTGCAAGATCGGGACTGTAGGGCGGATGAGGGAAAACCTCCCATTTGAATGAATTGAGGAGGTCTTGAGTGCGGTTTGCCGTGTGAGGTCGGGCAAAACAAAATTTTGGACATCAACTTTCCTCTACGCTGGTTTTGAACTGCTCTCCTAAGGTTGCGCAAAGCTTGACAGTAAGTAACGCCCGAGAGAACAGATATATTGTGCGGTGAGTTCTGCAAAACCGTACAACCGTATCACGGACCATTAGTCAGGAAATGGTCATGTTTACAGTACTCACAGCATCCGCTCGTATGGTGCGTCGACGTTTGCAGCAGCATAGACTATTAGCACGGCGAACATTACTTCGACTTCACTTGACAATGCAGCATAGAGAGAGGCGGCGACTCTGGTGCGCCAAACGACAAAGTTGGATACAGGAGCGGCACAATGTCATCTTTTCAGAAGAGTCCCGGTTCTGTGTGTAGTATTCTGATGAGCGTATACATGTCTGAGGCTCCGAGGAGACCGCACGTCGCCCCCTTGCGTTCGATCTCGTCCTAGGAGCCCTGCACCTGGTTTGATGGTTTTGGCAGCCATTGGGTACACGACACGCACATCTCTAGTTCGGATCGACGGTAATTTGAACGCAGATCGGTACATTTTTGACATCCTACGTACAGTGCTTGTGACCTGTATTCGAGGCCTGTTAAAGCCATCTTCCAGTAAGATAATGCAAGACCACATGTTGTACGTCGTGTACTGACCTTCCTCGATTCACAGGATATTCAACTGTTGCCCTGGCCTGCACGGTCTCCAAATCTGTCGCCCATTGAAAACATATGGTCATGGGTTGCTTAGAGACTGGCCCTCTACCACTCATCAGCTAATGCGGTTGATGAAGTGGGGCATAGACATGAAGCAGCATGGAATGAGTTGCCCATGCCTAACCGAGAAAGGGCCGTTTTAGCTGCTAGTCATAACATCTGTTTCTACTAATTTCGCGCAGCTGTATAAGCCTTGTATAAGGCCGCTAGGGTGGCTGGGGCTGCGCCCAGATTTTAACCCCCAAACTGCTTACAAATTTAATAATTTTGTCTGCATGCCATACTGTTTACATACAATAAATATCCCTTTTTTTTTATTTGCTTTCCTTCATGGTGTTGAAATTTTAATGGCCAGCTGTATATTTAAAGGAAGGTTTTAGAGTGTAAGAGCGTGTGCCGCCTGCTGAAGGTTGCTAATTGATTCTTTTGAGAGCTGCGTTATTCTCTTGTCAAGCTGACTTAAGTGAAAGCGTTTCCCTATCTGTGTACCCGCTTACTTAAGTCAGATTCAGTACGTTTGATTTAAGCCATAAATGATGGCTTTTCTGTAAGCACGAGTGAATTTTTGTGTCTTTTTATTATTAAAATTTTGTGTATTTACCTTATTTATTAAATATCACGTTCGTTGAGCTGCAGCCTCATAAAATTCGATTCTACAGCAAAATCACAAAATATTTAAAAACAGCATATCTTTGGAATTTCTGATAGACGCACTGGAGGATTTTATTCTGTACGGTGTTGCCACTGTTCGCTTCGAAATCGTTAAGTTTTTCAATCGTTCACAAAAATTTTCAGGAGGTTTATAAATTTGTTTTTCTTTAGAAGTTGGAAGTAATTTTGCATCAAACATAAAAACTAATTAACAAACATGTTACAAATATATGTATAAAAGGCTGTTCGAGAAAGGTGGCTACAAGCTTTGTTTCCTTAAATATTCTTAAGCAGGCATTTTCTGTGCAGCGCCTACAAATACATTAAAAAATATTCAATACCTTTTACATTTAGCTTATTGAAACTCGAGGTTTATAAACTCTTTGTGTTCCTTTTTGGACGCTACACTACATTGAATGCAGGTGAAAGAAAATTAAATCAATTTTTGAAATCAGACTTATAGATAATTCTAAATTCGCAGAAATATTTTACCTTCGAAGAATAAGGAGTATAAAATAATGCTTTATTCTGTCAAACGCAGGGTCATAAAATGAAACATACTTTCATTTGTCTAACTGAAATAAGAAAGAACATAAAATAATTGTGCCGAAACTATTATTAGATTTGACATTTGATGTAATACAAAGCTATATTACTGCTTTTATAAATTGTTCGCAAACTGCTACAAAAATATTAATCAAATAAATCATATGTATAACAACCATCCTCGATAATAAATTTTCTAATTGACATAATTTTTCTTCAAAAATCTTTCTGAATATTCTTTCCATTTTTTTGCACAGTGCTCATGAATTTTGTGGAAGAGGTGAAGAGAAAGAAGCCGAAAAATTACCGGTTCCATTATGAATGGGAAAGCGAATTCCTGTTCACCATGTCTGGTGGTAAATGCACGTGTCTCATTTGCCATGCGACGGTCGCCATCAGCAAGAAAAGCAATCTCAGAAGGCACTTCACTACAATGCACAAGCAGTTCATAGCTCAATACCCAGAAAATTCATCTGCTCGAGCTATGAAGGTAGTGGAGCCAGTCGCCTTCCGTCATCCGCTCATGGATACTGCGTTCTAGGCACACACCGCCAAGAAACCGTCCACACCAACAGCTGCAAGCCACTATTTTGATTTCTTTCCAGTAAGTTATGTAATATTTCTTTACCTATGCAATATTCTTCTCAGACCAGTTCCAACTGAAATCCAAAAGATTTCCTAATCGGCCTACCCAACGATGTTTCAACGAACGGATTCACTTCCAATAGTTGCTTTTAGCTTGACCTTATCCGTTACTGGATTGCGAGATCTCGTTATAGAGAATCGTCACGATTTTGTGTATTGACGAGTATACTCGTCAGGCGTATTTATGTTATGAAAGGAAAGTAAGGGAATTTAATTAGTACTCTGTACATAATGACAACGTATAGAAACAGATAAAGAAAAATACAAGAACCGGAGTAGTGATTGATTATAAAAAAAATGGGTGAATGGTATGAGGAGGAATGATCAGCACGTCTCCCAGCAACAAACACTCAAAAGTACTACAAAAGATACTTCTGCCCTCCATTTCTCAGACCTTATTGTCGAATCTGATGCATTCAGAGTAGAAAAAAAATGAAATATTCGCTTATCTTCATACTTTTTGCGAATTTATGAAGACACCTTTGCGACGTCCCATGAAAGAAAATCGACACAACTCGGCCTTTAGGCCTAAATAAAGGCCAATTAGGCGGAAACATTGCGGATTTATACCCTAACATCGAAAAAAAAAAAAACACTACGCGAAGGGTTCGCTTGCTACACAAACTAAGATCAGACTGAATCGCGTTACTGTGTTTCGATTGCAAAGTCCCATTTGGATAGTACTCGGTTTCGCTGAATATCTCTCCAGGCACGAATTTAATTCTTACTTTTTATGTATAATTTTAATTAATTGATTGTGTTTTCGTTAATAGTTGTATTTCTATGTAACCAAATAAGTAATTATTAGTAATAAGTTTCATTTATAAATAAACCACCTTTTTCATCCATACTACCAGCGCAACTTACTCTGTGATGGACGAATATACTCGTCATGGCTCGATTCTGGCGACACAAAACGATGCACACGCACTCTTAAACGAGAGCTCCACAGTTAACTGGTTAATGAAGTAGGTTTTAGGGTTCCTAACTCCTTTTCTAAGATGAAACGTCGAGGAACCTAGTGAACTATATAGCGACTTATCGCTGAGTTCAAACAGCTAAAGCTGTTATCACATCTAGCGACGGTCCCTGCTAGACTTGACATTTATGAGAAACGAGATTCTGGTAGCACTGATTTAAACGGGAGGATTCTTAGAAAAAACAGCTTCGTTGGAAGCGAAGTCCCGACTAGCCACGGAAACGATGTACCGGCTACGCGGGATTTTATGACTCCTCGCCGATGTTTCGGCAGGAGCTCTGTTCCGCGTAGAAATCAACCCATCAGACGAAAATTCTGCTTCTGAAGGATCATGTGATCCCAATCTGAACGATAATCGATTGCTGTTTGGCGTTCAAAACTTTGTAGTAAGTGAAAATGGTAACCTAGCTACGTGGGTAGGAGTAGCTGAGGGCGCAGTTTTGAGAATTGTCTCTTTCGACTTCCAGTCCCGCGTAGCGGAAACATAATGTGACAGGGGTTTAAGACGTAGACTCGAGAAGGGTTGAAATATTCTTTTATTCATTCAAAAAAGATTAAAAGTCGACCCCTTCTCGGGCTTACAGGAAAGCCTTTATTCGTGATTTTAACTCAGAATATGAAATAAGAACTAAAATAACCGAGACTTAGCCGAAGCTAAAGACAGTTATCTAACGTAGTCGGACAATTATTAACTACAGACAATTATTTAACGTAGTAGTTCCTTAACTTAAACTAGCCGGCGAATATCATTACGCACGTATAATACGGCCGAGCGTAACTGCTTCGAGAGTGACTTAGCCGGATGGCAAACACGCGCCACTAAGTGCGTCAGTTTTTTGAGCAATTAGTTAAATAACGGAAAACCATTTTTCATAACCTTCGTTTACAGCTAATTATTACCTTCATAGATACAACGTTTGCTTCGACTTTTAACACTTTAAGACCCTTATGGTTGAAAGAATCTTGATTTGAAGCCACTGATGTTTGTGGTTTATGCAGTTCGTCATATTGAAAATTACTTAATTGAGAAAGTAAATGCAAGCTGACTTCCAATTTTCAGTGGGGTTTAAGGATTTTATCATATTTTGAGCCTCGTGCTTTTCTCAAAAAAGTACAAAGTTCTGGATGACCCAAGTATACTTTTGTGGAACTCTGTTAATATTAAGAGAAAATATAAATTATTAAAATTTTCAATATCATCTCGAGACAACTGGAAGCAAATTTCCTAAATTTATACACACACACACACACACACACAGGCCAAAGAATTAAAAACCTTTGAGATTTTCATTTGAATGCGTGCTAGGGATGAAGTATGCAATTTTTTTATGACATGGGTTACACGTGGTTAGAATGCTAGTATAAGTAAGGTGTAAGAGTGCTTTTCACGATGAATGAAATAAAATGGGAAAAACGACAGATCTTTCACCATTTGAAAAAGGTCTTATTGTTGGTGCCCGTTTAGCAGGGGCCTCGATTCTGAAGACAGTAAATCTCACTGGATTCCCTAAAGCAACCATATCAAAAGTTGGGATCAGAACTCACAGTCCTTCTCTACAAGTTTTCCAAGAGATTGATCGGCGTCGTCTCCGACGAATTGTACGGCAGACCAGAGACTCTACTGCGCTTTAACTGACACAGATCTTCAGCCAATGCTCTTCCCAACAGATTTGAAGCTCGAAACAAGCACAGAGAATTGCAGATGATAGGAATGCATAGTCGGGTGTCTTTAAGAAAACCATTCCTTTCTGCCCGACATGCAAGAATTCGTTTGCACTGGTGTTGAGAAGGAAGACACTGGACATCTGAGGATTGGAAACGGGTAGTGCCGCCAGATGAACGATGCTACACCTTATTTTGCATTGATGGAAGATGTCGAATTTTGGTGAGAACCCCATGAAGACATGAATCTATCTTGCCTTACTCGCACTGTGCAAGAGTCTGTTGGGAGTATCATGATATGGGGCATGTTTTGATGGTATGGAAGTGGTGCCCTGGTGTTCCTCGAGGGTAAACAAATAGCCATTAGATACCTAAATATACTGGCAGATCAAGCGTACCCTGCAATGTTGCATTTTTTTACTCTGATGGTGACGGATACTTCATGGACGATAATGCAACTATACATCGTGCCAGAAGTGTTCAAAATTGGTTCGCTGAACATCAGTCTGACTTCCAATTCCAACCCTGGATATATGGAACCCAAAATGTATCGAATATGGTGGAAAGACGCATTCTAATTTACTAATACTTCTATCTAATGTACAAGATCTAAAAAGCTGCATAGTCAATACATGATATTCTCTGGACGTAAATGCACTCCAGAAGCATGTAGACATTATGCCCAATCGAATCAGAGCAAAATCCGTGCAAAAGGTGGTCCAACAAAATATTGATCTTGGGTTTCTAATCCATTGGCCAGTGTGTTTATTTTCATCGCATCTTAAATATATAAAGAGAATTTTTAATGCCATCGAAAATATGTATTGTCTTTCGTATAGGGGTAATGAATTTTATAGAAATATCGGTTGCGTTCAAAGTAAAGAAGCTATAATGTAAGAGATATTATGTAGCTATATGTAATGTGCAGGTACTACAACATGTCTCGAAACCATTTAGGCATTCAAGTAAGATTTCAGACTGAAATTGTCAGTTTATTGTTGAATGTAACTTTTGTAGATTTCGACAGAAATGTTCCATCGGTATTGTTAGACTTTCGTCAGATAAACAGTTACGGAAAATATAATAATCAAACGAAGAAAAGAGTTGGTTATTCTTGGTCACTAACTTACTTCTACATACGAAATAACTTCACTGTATTATTCCTACGTAAAAACAGCAATCATTTTCTAGGCTTATTGCACGTGACATCGGAATTCTTAAGAGAATTTCCGTAACTTCATGTGCAGTAAAATATATGTATTGGTTTTTATATGAACAAAATGAGCGGTAAGTTTTTATGGAATGTTTCTTCAATCTATATATATAAAGAAGAAAGTCTTGTTTGTTCGCTAATAATTCAGTCACTACTACAGCGATCGTCACCAAACTTTCTACAATTCTTTTCTGGATCCTGGAAAAGGTCGACGTCCACTTACTTAAAAAACAAAAAAGTCAGATATATTAATTAACTCTGAAAACACTAATTTTCGCAGTCATTTTTCCGAGTGGCAACAGTCTCGCGCGTTGGAGATAAAAATGCTTTATTTCGAAAAGTGTTGCTACTGCTCGTTTTCAGACCGTAGACTTTGTTTATCAAAAATTTGTAAGGTTTGCAAAATCTCTCTATATAAAGAAGAATGCTTGTTTGTGGATCTGTTTGTTCGCATTATTGATTTCTGATCAATTATGATCTATGTTTTGCCACATTGAATCGACTACAATGAAATATAGCTGAAATATAGGATAAAACTCGAGCTTTTATGGCCATTTGATTAAAAAGACTAAAATCATTAAAAACTGCGTGCTTTTGTTCCGGATATAATTAGAGAGAATTAGCTTATTTTTCTATCGAAAATTTTTATGTGGGTTCCATATCGCATCAGATTGAAAAATGTATGACTATGAATCGTATGTTTGGCATCGGGTACTTCCGCTAGTAATAATATACGTATGTATTTTCTATATTTCTGGCCTTTGTGTTTTGATGTCCGCTGAAAAAATATCCTAAATTAAAATTATCAATCCTTTCAATACCTTTCAGTTGCAGCAAATTTACCGATTCATTATTTTTCTGAAAATGTGCAATAAAAAAAGCAGCCCATCTAATTAAAATGGAAACATAAAGTTTAGAGATTTATGTAATTTCAGATTTATTCTTTCACAGACTTTGCATAATTTCTTTTACCACATCTGAACAAAAAAGAAAAAATATGCTTGTAAAGTCTAGTCTTCTTGGCTAGCATAAACTGTTACTAGATCTACTTGAAAGTTTGTTAGCGAATTATCGCTGAGACTAGAAGATGAACACAACAGGAGAACGGCGTAAAGGACCCTTTTTACTTAATTCAGTTATTTATAGACGACACAGTCTTTGTGCTTAAAAATCCACCATCCATTGTAGCGATAAAACTAAAGATAAGCTCGTAGTACAAGACTACACCAATTAACTTAACCAAGCAGGTTGAATAAGAAACCTACACCGGCGGGATATGAAACTTTGGTAGCATTCTTGCCGAGTTTAATACCCCGCCGGTGTAAGTTGCGAAGCCAAGGTTCAGAATTCAAAGAATTGGTAAAAACAGCAACGTGCGTAGTCAATAGCGAAACACGCTGTGAATAATCTTTTCGCTACTTCAGTTTAATGTCCACCCTAACTCATTTATATCGTGGTGAGGAAATGCGAGAGAAAAAAGTATAAGGTGTTTCTCCCGCCCTCTTAGCATGCCTTCGTGGTGTAATGGCCAGCAGACTCGGTGCGTATACGAGAGGTTCGAGCCCCGACGAGGGTATTGCTCATTCTTCATGTCTCCTGATTAAAAAAAAATTCTAAATGTCTCTACAGTGGCGCCCAAACTAAAAGAAGGTGGTGGATGATGATACTCCACCGCCAGGATTTGGCGATAGGGTCCCCTAATCCCTAGTCGCCCTTTAAAATAGGGAATATATATGGTATTTCTCCCACCTTTATAGCATGCCTTCGTGGTGTAATGGTCAGCATGCTCGGCGCGTATCTCGGGTGGGGCATTGCCTGTTTCATGCATTTAAAAAAAAAAAAAAAAAAAAAAAAAAAACATCTAATGTTTCTGCAGTGGCGCCCGAACTTTAAAAAAAAAAAAAAAACCGAAATATTTTAGATTTTATATTACGCCAAAACGGGCTTTTTTAACGTTTTGTGTGTTGCCTTTATGTATTAAATATCATATTCTTCGCACTTAAACCATGAAATTCAATCCAACAGCAGTATCACAAAATAATTTAAAAAGAGCGTATCTTTAGAATTTCCGATGCACATTCTCGCGCTCTGGAGATATTTCTCCCCCTCCCGCACACTGTTTTCGTGCAGTGATGCCATTGCTCGCTTTGAATTCGTCGAGTTTTTTAACCAAAAACTCATAAATGCTTTACAAAATAGGAAATAAATAATAAAACAAATTCCGGCTTCCAGATGACCCTATTCGCGTGGAGACGTACGGTATTCAAAATTGGATGACTCTAACTACCGTCGTTTTATCACAATGCGAGAAACATGCATACATTCATGCAGATTCTTCATAATTTTATTTCTTTAAATATAATACAGGGCGATAATATTTGGTGGCAACAGTTTGAAAAATGAAACGCTACAAAATGCCAAAACGAAATTACTAGCCCTTCTCGGCTATAACACCTTTTGAGCTAATAATATAAACCTCGCGTGCTTATCATGCGTGGAAGTATTTATTTATTTACAAAGAAGAGTCTTAAAAGCTTTGAAATAATAATTTTTTGTTGATAAGATAGAGAATTTAATTAAGAAAACTTTATAATGAACTTAGAAGCCAGAAAATGCGTGATCGTTGTATTTATGGTTTTTATGTCCAAAATATTGATCGTTAAATGTCCATTAAGGTGAAAATTTAAGTGAGAATTTATATGAAAATGTAAAAATTATTGGACGCTCGGAAACATTCATCAGGATTGAAGGTCTCGTTGAGAAATCGAAGCAAGAGAAGAATACGGAGAAGAGGATGCTGCGAGTTAAGGAAAAGAGAGAGAAAATCACGCAGCTGCGCTCGGTGGCAGCGAATAAGAGCCCTGCGATCACGTGATGCAGCGCCACCCTTTCTTAAAAGCATCACCAGGTTCCGTAGCATCACCGCAGTCTCACCTTCTCTTCGGGTTAGAGCAGGATTACTCTATGAATAAAGGAGCATTACCCTTTATTATAATTTCTTCTACTTTGTTTAAAGATAGGCCGCCTTCGCCTTTTAGATATAAACCTCCCCTGGACTTGGGTATTAGGTGAGATTTGTTTGAATTTTTCTATTCAATTATTTACAATTTCATTATTGGATAAAATATTCACAATTTTTCCAAGACAGAAACCGTGGATACTTTTCGGTTTCTGGAATAGATTTTAACTATCAGCTAGTAGAATAACTGCTTTTTGTATTACTGTCCTCGAGTGCACCTCATTCTAAGGGGGAAAAAAAAATTAGGTTTTTAACTGTTGACGTAGGGACAGAGTTGTGCACCATTTAAATGATTCGTCGGAGTCCAAATATAGTTGACATTTTCTTTCCCAAATAAAAGCTAGAAAAGGGCATATTTTATGTCAACATTTTAAAAATTTGTATAAGAAAATATGGAATTCGTATGACTCTTTTATCTGGAATTATGAGGTTACCCTATAACTAACTATTAGAGACATTTTCAAGAACAGACTAATACGTTTCAATAGTCAGTCAGCTGAGACTAATACGTTTTAATAACGTATTAATAGTCTAATACGTTCACGAAGAGTCATACGTATGAATAGTCGTAAGAATAATACGCATTAATAGTATTAATAGAGTTTAATACGTATTAAATAGTCTAATACGTTTACGAAGAGAGTAATACGTTTTAATAGTCTCTTTCCCATATAAAACGAATGTTTTCGATGTCTGGAGGTATATTTCAATATCTGGAGATTTTGTATAACTTAAACACCAAAGAAAAGGGTATGTGATAATACGCCAATTCCATATTTTCTTTCGTTTCATATTATATATATTTCGTTCAAAATCCATATTTTCATTTCGTTAATTAAGCTCGATATTTATTTATTTGTTTCTGATAGCGTCAAAAATTGCAAAAATATTAATATATATATAAGGAAATCTAGGTAATGAAAGAATTATAATTTTACGCCTAAAACATTAGACGAGATGTTTTTAATACATCTTATTTGAATTTGTGTAAACGTTAATGGAAGTATAAATGCCTAGCTATTCAGCTGTTAAAATATAGAAACTGTAAAATTAATTTAATGTTTCATAAATTTCGACTATAGAGGAAATGTATGATTTTTCCCCTCTTTAAATATCGCTGTTTTTACTAGTCCAGTTTTAAAATTTAATTAAAGAACGTATATAGTTTTACTTTTAAGCAAAGAAAATTTTTAAAGATTAGCATTTTCATAAAATCAAAAAAAAAAAAAAAAAAAAAAAGTAGTAATCATCGTTAATATTGCTATGATAACTAACTCCAAATGCTCAATTAGATTTTGAAATTATTTTAAAAATCATCTTTTATGTATTTTATAAGTTATTTCTTTTTTGTTACCGGAATTCATGTACAATAAAATATTTTCAGATAGTAATATTGCTATGAAAAGAAACAAATAAAAAAATAGATCATCCTGGAAGAAAAAGTGGAAGTTGATCATTTTTTTGCTCATTAGTAGCCATTCGATAAATTGCATTGAGCATGCATATTCTTTATTAGAAAATTTTACATACTTCATTTATATATTTTTTAACCCAAAGGGCGTCAGCCTGTTGAGATATTAGGTATTTTTTGGAAGCAGGAAAGATGGAAAATTAGCAACGTCTTCGCTGGGAATCGAACCGCGGACCTCTGCAATACCGGCCCAGCGTGCAGAACCACTACACCACGAAGGCACGCTAGGAAGGCGGGAGAAATACCTTATAATCCCAGAAGGGCTATTAATTTCGTTTTGGCATTTTGCGTCAATTCACTTTTCAAATAGTTGCCACTAAATATGATCTCTCTGTATTATATTTAAAGAAATTAAATAATAAAAAATCTGCATAAATGTTTGTATGTTTCTCGCATTGTGATAAAAAAACGTACCTTAATCCATCAAATTTTGAATAACGTACGTCTCCACCCGAATATGGGCCTCTGGAAGCCTAAATTTGGCCTATTTCATATTTTGTAAAGAATTTATGAGTTTGTATTAAGAAACTCGACGAATTCAAAGCGAGCAATGGCAACACTGCACGAAAAAAGAAAAGTTATCTCCAGCGCGCGAGACTGTGTATTGGAAATTCTGAAGATGTGCGCGTTTAAATATTTTGCGATATTGCTGTTGAATTGAATTTTGTGGTTTAAATGCGAAGACCATGATATTTAATAAATAAAGGTAACGCACAAAACGTTAATAAAGGCCCCTTCGGGCGTAACATAAATCTGAATGCATTGAGATTTCCCCCCTTTTTATCGGATTAATAATTCTATGAGTAATTTTTGTTTATGAAGATTCTCAAATGCAGCCAATGCTGTGGAAATATCCAGAAATGTCTCCACTGACATCTAGCGGTATTCTTCTTATTTGATACTTTTATTTACTCTATATTTTGAATTTTATTACTTACATTTTGAATTTTGCAAGAATACAAAGCAATAAAGTGATTTGATTATAGTTAAATGCAAAAACTATGATAACTTTTATAAATTTAATTAATGCATCAGCTTTCAATTGTCAATAAATTATTCTTGAATTTATATACGAGCAAATTATTAAACTAATTATTCTCATTCAGTTTTGTAAAATTATAAAAATAATATGTGAGAGATATAACACGCTTTTGTAAACAACGTAACGTAATTAAATTTAAAATTAGCTTTATTTTTTTCTAATGAATGAGCTGTCCGTGAAATCATAGATAACTCTTGTTGAAATTACACGGAGAAGCTTGAATATTTGCGAGACACTTTTTCTTCTGCAATCTGTTTGACCTAGAAAATAAATCCGCTTTTTGTGTTCTATTTCTTGTTAACTGTGACTCAGAAAATAGCAGTAAAAATTTACTCATCATGAATAGGAAATTCATGTATCAAGGACTAAATCTGCTTAAAATATTATTCTTTGTCTCATATAACAGATATTCTTTGATTTTAAGCATTCTTTCATTTTGTATACTTAGTATTTCTGTTATTTCAATACCCTTATTTTTTTCCCTCTGCAGTTCTTCTCAGAGGCAAGTTATTAGCCGAAAGAGGCGTTAGACCCAAAGGGCTATTAGTTTCAAAACAGCATTTTGCGTCGTTTCACTTTCTCCGTTCGTTCACTTTTCAAACTGTTGCCACCCAATATTACCGCCATGTATTATATTTAAAGAAACTAAATAATGAAGAATCTGCATGAATGTTTCCTCGCACTGTGAAAAAACAGCAGTACCTAGAGACATCTAATTTTGAATAACGCAGTTCTCCAACCGGACATGGGCGCTCTGAATCCCGAATTTTAAATTTCGAATTTCGAATTTGTTTTATTATGTATTTCAAATTTTGTAAAACTTTGAGGAATTTTTGGTGAACAAAGTCAACGATTTCAAAGCCAGCCATGGCAACACTGTACGGAAAAAAGAAAGCATTTTTTCTATCTCCAGCGCGCGAGACTGTGTATTGGAAATTCTAAAGCTAGGCTGATTTAAAAATTATTTTGCGATATTGCTGTGGATTGAATTTTATGGTTTAAGTGCGAAGATTATGATACTTAATAAATAAAGGTAACACACAAAACGTTAGAAAAAAAAAGCTTTCAGATTTATATTTATATATATATAATAATTTATTTCCTAAACAATATGATTAATTGATTATATTATCTCCTAAGTTTAATTAAAGTAGAATTATTTTAAAAGAGTGAATCCATACTGGTATATATATATATATATATATATATATATATAATAATTTATTTCCTAAACAATATTGATTAATTGATATATTATCTCCTAAGTTTAATTAAAGTAGAATTATTTTAAAAGAGTGAATCCATACTGGTATATATATATATATATATATATACATACGTTACGGTGAAACACCGAAATCTGGTGAATGTCAACATTCACATAGTCGCTTTTGGTGTATGTGATCCGAAATATTTTCCAAATACTCTTATTTCTGACTTACACCGGTCAATGTCGACATTCACCATGTACTAATGGTGAATGTTGAACATATTAAGAATATTATATTTTCTTCTCTCCGTAATTCAGTCACGAATGAAACGCACTTGAGAACTTGAAATAAGAACTATAAGAACATGAGAACCTAAAACACACAATACATTCAAAATGAGAAAGGAAAATAATAGAAGTTAAAAACTTACTTAAAACACTTAATATTACAGTACGTTTCTAAATGAGAAAAATAAAATGATAGTAATAAAAACCTTACTAAATTATGTGATTCAGATCTTACTTTATTGCAACTACTTAAACTATTATGGCACTTTATGACCTCTCTTTTCGACTTTCACCAAAGCATATCTGTGATTGTCGACATAAACCGGTGAGGGTCCGAATATACAAGAATGTAGTACAATATTCGATCTTTATCCCGGCGAACGGGCTGGCTGCACGGGCGTTTTCGTGGTTTTCCCCATGTGTAACGTGGATACGAGCCAGTTTCCCTTAAAAAGACCTCCACGGGGCATCCCTCCCTTTCCGTGTAGTGCCTAAGGGCGGAGCACGTAATAAGTAAAAAGGTTATAAAAAAAAAAAAAAAAAAAAAAAAAAAATCGATCTTTCACTGACGTATTTGGTGAATGTTGATATTCTCCGGTGAAAGTCGACATTCTCCAATTTCGGTCTTTCACAGTAACATATATATATATATATATAACAAATATTCTATTCTTATAAAGCTAATATAAATTTAAAATATAATTAATTAATGGTTTTGAATTTTACTTATACCCTTGCCTATATGGATGAAGAAACACGAATTGAGTCATTGAAGAGTTAGGTTTGGAGGCAACTTCCCCTTGATAAGTGTGTTTCCTGCCTGCTCAACAATTATTCACTTATGCAATTTATTTGGTCTTAAAAATTCCTTAAAAATTTTTTTGGAATATCTATTTTTTAATGGCTTTAGATACGTGCACTTAATTTACATATGCTCTTAGAATTTAAATAATATTGTAAATTAGTTCGCAGCAATAATTAATTTTATTTTTGCAATTAAAATTTCTTAATTATATTTTTAATTTATATTAGCTTTAT